ACATTCTAATACGTGTTAATTATTTATTCAAATTTTAAAATTAATTTGTGGCTATGGAAAAAAGTAAACAGGTTTTCACAGATCACAAACTTATAAAAATCACCTATATAAATTAACTACGCTCTCTCTTCTCTCTTCTCTCTTCTCTTCTCTCTGCAAGTTTATAAGAAATTAAATATTTGCCGTACTACTCTAATATGCCAGAATAAGAAAAAACTGCAGATCTGATTGAAATATGGAAACTATTTCAAAAAAAATTACGAGTTTTGGCATTCAATCTTTTATTTGTGTTAATTAAATAATTAAGAAAATTTTTATCATTGTAATTCTCTATGATTATAAATATGTGAGAAATTTGTAAAACGTATAAATAATATTTAATTTATTGATTTTACATGATGACGACGATAAAGGATGTAGGTGGAGGAGGGGAACAGAAAATCCGATTTGGAAGGTATAGATGATGATTTTGATCCAACCCAAACTCCAGCTCCAACCATAGAATAACTAGATCCAGAAGATGACAAATTTTGTTGTTTTTGTTGATTCACTACAAATTGTTGAAGTTTCATACTTTGTATTGATAATTTTAGCCATAATTCTTTGTTCTTCTATTGTTAATATTTTTTGACCTTTTACAACATCTTCTTCACCAGGATCCAGGTAAATAAAATTCTAATATATATTTTATTCTATTATAGTTATTTGGAGTGAAGAATGACAAGGTCTAGAAAATATCAATATAAACCAGTAATAAATCAGTATAGCAGTTTGTCACTTTTTGGTAGTTGATCAACTAAAAATCGGGAAACACAATCAATATCATGTGTTAATTTTTAGCTGACTGGCGCTAATTGTCCTTTTTCGACCAGTAAAATAGAGTATATGATGCAATTAGCTGACGTAAAAAAATAAATGGGGGAAATTTTATAATTTTTAAAATTTAAAAATGACGCAATATTGGGGAAAAATTTTTGACCACATATCAGTATATTATATATATATATATAGATATATTAATATATTTTATTAAAAGCTTATCGTCCAATAAAACTAATTCCTCGACAGAATCACATGATATTACATATCTTCACTTTTTATGGTATCAAAATAATAAGATAGAGAAAACATTTTTGAAGAAATCTAATCATCATTCTGTTTACCTTAAGTAAAGTCATCTACAGACGATTAGATTTTAGCTGCACAGAACTTGAGATATATAAACATGGATTAACTTGGAAATCCTTTACTTGATTTGGAAAGATAATCAGGGTTTTTTGAAATTGAAATAATTGGATGTAATGCGAGATCCTGTTTAAACTGCGGTTTGATATTTTTTTTAACAACACATTAGTATATTAGAAGTGATAACGTGCATGCATAATAATAATATTATTAATGCATATTTTTAATGTTAAAATTTAATGTTAAATTTAAATGTTAAAGTTTAAATGTTAAAGTTTTTAATATATTGGTTTTCTCTAAATGGAAATTTGATATTAACTATCATAATAACGTTTTTTGTCCCTCCCACCATTAATTCTGTAATTCATGAATTATCCTGTTTTTTTAGTGGCAGTTCTTTATATAGGAATGTATAACGATATATAATCGAACCAGTAGTTTTATAAACCGATACGAACCGATCCAATCCCTAATTAATATACCAAGATTGGATCTTTGTGGCACTATGTTCACTTTTGTAAAACTTTTTCCCTTATATCAAGCATTTTGCATAGAGAAGGTTTATTGACATTATTGAGAAACCAAGAGCCAACTACAGAGTTTTCGTGTTCTCGGCAAGTATAAAATAAGTATTAAAATAAAAAATGGTCTAATATGATGGGATCATGAAAGAATACGGGGAATATTTACTGTGTTGACGTTCGATGCCATTATATTTACATGATAATATTAGTTTGGTTCATATACTCATGATTGGGTTAGTTTCTCTTCTTGCGTTTCTTTTATTATTAAGCCGTTCATTTACCATGGTCTAATCATTATTATCAACTCAGGGTTACATTTTTTAAAATTGATTTATTTTTTATTCTTGGTTTTAGAATGAAAAAGATAGTAGCAGGGTACTTTCCTTTCGAACAGAAACCTCATGGATTCAAGAAGTATTATTAACACTAGTTAACAGAGGTAAGTGAATACAAAAAATATATATTTATAATAAATCTTTGTTTCAATGAAAATTTTAAATATCTTTTCACGTGATATAATCAAGATAATCAAGAGTATTAACTTGATGCAAAAAATTATCAATCCAACGAAAATCGTAAAAGAGTTACATAGTTTCAAGAAATTAATATCTAAAGCCGCGTGTAATTTAATACAAATTGTTTTAGATCAGCTAATTAAATATTTGGTAATGTATTTTGTTTTCTAATTCCATACTGATTTCAATGCTATCAGCTAATAATACTATTAAATATTCTTTTAACATGATAAGATTCTAAGTTACCAAAATTAAATAAAAACGGAAAGAATTGATAGGAACTTGCTGCGGAAACAATATTCTCTATATTTTTCAAAGTATAAAGATTTTTTTTTTAAATGCAAGCAAAAAAAAAATAATACATATCAATAATCTTTAGAGTTTCTTTCTTATCTGCATGCACAAAAAAAAATAGTGGTAGGACAAAAATATAATACAACTTTTGTGCAAAGTTGTATGATTGGCCATTTTCCCCACTGATTACTATGTCAATCATTCACCAATTATAGGCGAATAATCTCTTTGGATCTTCTATTATCTTCTATCTTACCATAGATCTTTGAAACTAGTTCATTTTCTCAAATTCCAGAGTGGAAGATCTAGAAATCCAAATGATTTTCTAGACGACATGAATAATTTAAAATCATGAGATAATTTTAATTCATTTCTGACGCAGTAATTTTTCAAGGAGATGATGACAATTTTAAATACAAAGAATTTAACTTGGAAGACGATGATTTTCAATTTTTGGAAAGCTTTAACAAATAATTCCTCCTGGATTACTATTGGGCTCTGTTTGACTACCAACGTTGATTTTAAATACGTATGTATGTTTCTTTCAGCTCGCTTGTATATTTTTGGATTATTCTTGAGTCTTCTGATAATGACGATGATGATATTTTGTTATTAAATATGACCGTGACGTATCCTCATGATAATGTTGGCAAAGAATTCAAATCATACATGTTGATTTGTGAGGCAAAGAAGCCAAATACTGGTCAAGGATAGAAAGAATACGAAGGAGTTAAAAAACGATTGTTATAATAACATAGTAATCTATTATTTAAAAAGAACAAATTTTTAAAGAATTAAAGTGTATGAGCTACAGTTATAAGGTAACATTATTATTATTAATATCAACATTAATTATATATATTGTCAATAATATTTATCTTTTCTCGAAAAAATATCCGGAAGCATGATCATCTGTACGAAAAGATTTGTAAGGTTCGAAGTAATTATTCAACTAAAGATAAGCGCTTTTTTTTTTGGTTCTGACCTTGCGGATAAAAAGTAAATACTTTTAATAATGATATGTTGTATTTATGTTTTAATTGAAATTACAGAGATTGGAAAAGATATTTGGAATCTAGAAAGAACATTGATGTGAAAAGTTTTTTAAAAAATTAATTGCAGAAACTTCTCCCATCCTGAAATAAAGTCGATAAAGGAAAATTTAAATAATAATGATGATGATAAAAAAATAATTAAATTTTTTGATTTTGGATATTATAATATACATAATATGCGTGATATAATAACCAATTCATACTTTACTGCCAAGAATAAAATGAACAAGGAACAGAGCTAAAATTGGAAAATTTTTTCAATTTTCCCTTTCCCTATTTTCCTTCATACCTTAAGATCTCTCTTTCCCGACCACATCCTTTGTTGCAGTATGCCCAAATTAGAACTTGAATTTTTTAACGTTGAAGGATTTGTTACAACCAACATTAATACTAACATCAATATTGATACCAATAATAAAGATGATGATGTTAGGAGAAATGATGATAACGTCACATTTATTGTATTTTATTATTATTATATTGCATTAATAATATTGTAGTTAATATTACATGACAATTTGAAAAAATTTTTGCGATATGTAGTTTAAAAAAAAAATAGTTGGCTATCTCGAAAAATATTATGTGTGTGTATGTGTGCGCGCATATAAATGTGAGAAATATATTATTTGCGTGTCGACGATGAAATTCACTCAACGATTTTCTAATAAAAAGGATGTGGTGTGGATCATTATTATCACTGAAATTAGATGTTTGTCGAGATTGCCGGCGCATCAGGTGCTATTGACGATAAAGAATTTGGTGGTTTAGAAGATGAGCTAGAAGAATGAATTTCATGATTGGAATGGTTAGTATTAGATGTAGATGTGGAAGAATATGAGCTAGAACTAGAAGAAGGAGGAGGAGTTTCGGTTGGGGAAGATACAGATGATGATGGTGATGATGATATATTTTGTTGTTGATTTAGTTGCATATTTCGTATTGATAATCTTAAACGTTCAGAATGCATTTGTCGTTGTTGATGTAAACGACTCATTTGTTCATCAATATATTTTTGCCACAATTCTTTAAGTAGTCGCTCTTCTATTTGTAATATTTCTTTAATTCTTTTTACATCTTCTTCATCGTTTTCGTTATTGATAATATAATTAATGTTATCAATATTTATAGATCTTCCTTTCATTTCCGTTTCCTCCTTAATTTGCTTTATTCGTTTGTCCATCGAATCTAGAATAGACTTTGTGGCCAATTGCTCTAAATGAATTTTGGTTTTGTCTTCAATCAATTCCTTCATATTTAAAATTAACTGGTCCATTGTAGACGCATAGTTTTCCTGTGGATAAAATGTGAAAAGGTGTGTGGTGAAAGGAGGACATTAATTAACGTGTAAAATTATACAACAGAAAAAAAAAAATACCAGGTCTCTTGCCGCACCCTGCAAAACAATAAACAATATTCGTTTACCTTTGAATTAGAAGCTTCGAAAATATTCGACTCAATCTTCTTTGCTTGTTTAACAACCTCATAGAGTGGTTGAACCGAATAAGCTAATTCTGCTATCCCAATAATTTTATCAATTCTCTCTTCTCCTGTTACCAAAAGCCTCCATCTCTCTGATAATGACATAATTCTTTATTTTATTTTATAATTGAAATTGATAATAGAAAAAAGTTTCTATTTTTTTGTAAAGAAAAAAAAAATTATTTATCGTAGTTTTTTTTTAAAAAAAAATATATTAAAATTGTAATTATTTATTTTGTTATTTATAAAAAAAAATATAATTTTCAATTGTTTCTTTTTTTTTATTTTAACGGGAAAAAAAATTTTTTTTAAAGTATATTGATCATACATATTTATATCTTTAAGGTGCGTGGGTAGATAATTTATCTTTTGTATGGGTAACTAACTAGGCATGTAGGTGGGTAGGTACTTCGTTTGATTGATATTATTTGTTGGTTAGTTAGTTAGGATGTTTGTTAATTGGTCGGTCAACTAGTAAAAAAACAATATTTGAAATTTTTCTTGAATTAATTAATTCTAAATTTATACAAGAATGGAAAATATAACATACATATATATATATATATATATATATTATAATAATAATAATAAATAACAATAATAATTCATCCATTCATTCTCAATAGTATATTGTTAAAAATATTTTTTTACTACATAAATAAAAAAAGTTGTTGTTGTTGTTGTTTGATAGTTGATAGTAATAACATACCAACGGAAAAAAAATTAAAACTAACAAAAAACAAAAGGAGGATGGGGGAAATTTTTGGAGTATGGAAAACGTAATGTAAGGTGATGTAATATAACATTATTTTAATCGATGAGGATAATGAAATTATAAATTTAAACGTTGAAAAAATTAAATGTTTTATTTTTTATGGTAATAGAAAAATGATGATGGTAACTGATCTGGTCAGTCATTTTTTTATATGATGATTATTATATAATTATTAATTATTATGATAACGGGAATTGCTTTTTGTCGTTTATAATTAATTAATTACCTTGAAAAAAATTGAGTTGAAATGTGAATCCCTATCAAAATACTAATATTGTATATCGCGCGTATGTATTATTTGCACATGAATTATCATCGCAGAATCCAATGTAAAATACAAACTAAGAAGCAACTAAAATATTTAAGTTTTAAGTTTTATTTATTTATTTTTATTGTAAAATAAAAAATCTTGGTTCCCATGAATTCGCCCAGTCCAATTTTTGTCTATTTACGGTTAATTGATAATTAATTCAATGTGATTTATGATGTTTATTGATTATGACGAGTAGCAATGCGTGTATTGTTTTTTTGTTGTCATTATTCAATCTGGCTATTTAGACGGGTTCTCGAACTGATCAGCATCAATTGCAATTACTGATATGTAATATTTTTACTACTAGTAATAGTTATGCGTTATGAGCTATTATGTGCCTGTGTGCGTGTGTGCGTAATGCGTGATTCGTGTGTGTGCGTGTGTGCGTGTGATTGTATAATATACATATAAATAATAATTATATATTTGCAAATGGGTTACCCCGAAAAATCAGTAAATAATGATCTATTTTAAATAAAATAGAGGGAAATATTATTTATTTTTCATTTTGATAATGACTTTTAATTTTTAGATTAAAAAAAATTCCAAATATTTTTTTCTTTTTTTTTCAATTCATTCTAGTATATATATAAATACACATAAAATATTAATAACGAATAACCAAATAAATAAACCTTCTACCCTTATTTAGTTATACAATGGGTACATTTTATAAGTACTTTTTCTTGAAAAAGAAATTATTCCCAAAAAATATAAAAAGGGACCATTTCGGTATGACTTTTTCCGACTTACTTCAACCGGGACCAATAATAGAAGCGAACTCGAATAAAAATATCCTATTATCATATTATTCAAATTTTTCCACAAATTATAAATAACCTGTTTTTAAGATCAAATGATCAAACCAACTAAACCAACTTGATTAAACTAAACCTAATTTCTTAATGATGTCATTAAAAAAACCCAGTTCCCTGGAAATTGACAGTATCAATATGTCCATGTGCCTTACGCGCCATCATTGCAATTTGGGGCATGCATGCTATAACCAAACCAGTATAATGCCACAAAATAACTGGTGGTGCAAAATGAAATGAAAGGAATAGATAGGTGTAATGAGGTTTTGATATCTTTTATGACATGACAATTCGATTTCTTTTTCCCATCAGCCTTCTTTAATAGTATAAATGACAATTAGAAATCTTCGAACTTTTACCACATATATACCAAGGTTCAAAAAAGAAAATGTTGGGATTTCATAATACATACATATAAGCTAGAAAGCCTTTTTCACACCATCATTAAAAATTTGGGTGTTATTCGATTCTGCAGTACTATTACACAGTCTACTACACTTGTTTTTCTATAGTTAAAAACTTTAAAAAAATCACAATATATATTAATTTATAAATAGCATAGCATTTACAAATATTACACATATGTTATAAACTAGTACAATTTTAGAACTATATGTAGAGTCATATCAACGTGTAACGTAACACCGGTCGATTCCGTCAACTGGATTTTTCAACACCGACTTTATTTTTCCCCTTTAATTATAACAAGTTAAAAATAACATTGTCCATTAGAAGAACTTCTTTTTTTGCTTGTACTCTTTTTTACGTGCATTATATCTTATGTCATTGTGACTATTTTAGTAAATCGATGTTTTACAGCTACAATAATGTATAACGCGCAATTTTTTTTTTTATAGAAATTTTTTTACACTTGTATAATTTACTCTGACATCAATAATTGAAAAAAATTTATTTTTGAAAAATTGATTGACTGGGTAGCTCATTATAGCATGATTTTATTTTAATGCTTGGGATTATTTTCTTTAAAACTATCAATTATTTAATGTTTGATATTCGACTTGCAGGAATTTTCAATTTTCCAAAAAAAAAAAAGACTTGATTTCCGAAGGATATGATGTAACGGAAAATTCATGGTGGCTGTGGACTTATTGAAATTGCATTTCCTTTCAAAGAACCTGTGAAGCCTCTCTCTTATTGGTCAGGATTTTTTTATCACAAACAAGGTCACGAATATAGAATCTAACGTGGGAGTCGGAAAATACTTTGTTAAATCTAGCTCAATACGTTAGATTTAATTAATGGGCTAATTATTGTATTCATTTTTGCATTTGGGGACGCAACTTATTATTTATTTAAACAATGCAGCAAACAAAAAGGCGCAAATTAAAAATTGAGCGTATTAAATTTGTTCGGTCAACTTCAGTTTATATTGAATTCTCAGGTGCCGAAGATAATAAGCTGCTGTATTTAACAGACAAGGACAAGAAGTAATTGAAAAGTTTAGGAAATAAGCAAACAATATATAACATCCAACTACCATAAGAATTTGTAATAAAAACAAAAGTTTAAATTTTCACAAATCCTCTAATGCAAAAGTCTTTATTGTCCATAAAAAGAGACCTCATCGATGAGTATTTCTTGGAAATACTTACCCTAATTTGATTATATTTATTGATGCCAGATTATAAATATACATATTCAAGCTGATAATATTCACTTCTGCAGCTAGTGATCTAAATATATATATATATATATATATATATATATATATATATATATATACACAAAGAGAGAAGAAAAAATTGATGTCAGGTTTATTTGATTATGATTAGCAGTTGTAATTTCAATATTTAATGTTGTGACAATTATTTAAATCGTCAAGATAGGCTATTTACCTATTTACCTTGAATAAAGTTTCACAATTTAATCATCTCATGTTGTTTTTCTTTTCTGCATTTTATTAGGTAATTGCATTTCTGTTAGTTTTCTTTTGCTGATTGTTTCTTTCTTGTCAGTAAACTTTACAGGTAATCTTCTCTTTCCTTAAGTTATAATATCAAAAGCGCCAGAGTATCAGTTAATTTAAACACAAAGTAGTAATTTTCTCATTTTGTTCTTTTCAAATACTTCTGCTTGGGTTCCATTGTAGATTATATATATTTATACTTTATGTAGGGGTAATTTCATATCAATTAAATCATACTTGATTTTTTAATGCACTCCTTGTTTTATTAATAGCAAAGCTAATTTGGATTGATTGACTATCTTATAAAGACAACCTTGAAATTTTATGTTATATTAGTGGTACAATTGTAGCATTTAACATTCCCTATATGATAAAAAAACCAAATGTATTTTATTACTTTTTATTTTACTTTCGATTGAGAAATCGTGCAATTTCCCAAGTTCACGAATGAAATAAAGTTTGTGTTTCTAAACAAACTTTAGCCCCTGTAAATTCCCTTCTGGGGTATTCCCATATCAAATATATATGTATATCAGGGCTGGCAGGGTTAAAAACTTAATTTAGTAATAATTGTCTTGACTAAACTTGACTTAACATAAATAGTTTAGCCTCATTCGGGTTACACATCCAGCCTGATATATATGTCCAAGTACGATTTATGTTCCCAAATCGGGTATATACCTTTTGATTAATATTAAGTTGGAAAACACTGAAAGCCCTGACCATTTGTGTTACTGAATCACAAATTTTTTTTGATTATCACAAAAAAAAAAAAAAACAAAAGAAGTTTCTTTCATCAAATATAAATAATATGCCAGAATTCGTGACACCGGGTCAAAGATTAGGATTTACACAAAATTTTAAAGCAGGTCCTGGTACTTATATTCGAGGTAGTCATATCTATGCTAGTGTTGTTGGTGTAAGAAAAGATTTTGTCAAGAAAGACGAAGAAAAGGTACTTATCATCTTCATCCTTATTATAATATAATATTAATATTAATATAGTTAATATGTAGTTAAAGAAGTATTATTAATAATAATTAAATCGCTTGATGGCGAATATGGAAGTAACTACAATTAAAAAATACTAACTTTTTTTATTTTAATTGTAATTATTTAGATACCAATAATAACAGTTTCAAGGGAAAAAAAACAATCGGCAGTACCAGATGTTAATAGTATTGTTAGTAGTATTAAAATGACATTTCTACAACTACATTCATTCATTAACAGTATATTTATTTAACATATGTTCACATAAAGATAACAGGTAAGGTTATACGTATAAATCCAAAAGAAGCTTTTGTGTCTATAATGGTTGTTGGTAGTTCACCATGCAAAGAAAATTTCCAAGGAATAATAAGGTTATTTACTAATTGTTATTATTGTTTATTTATTTACCTTTTGCTTTTGCATATACATTGTGCATTCATTACTTATTAAAACTCGCTTTTTTGCATTCATTCATTCATTCTCATTTCATTCGTTCATTCGTTCATTCATTCATTCATTCATTCATTCGCTTACTCATTTTATTTATGTTATCGATTCACCAATATTACTTTACTCGCACTACGAAGATCTCAAGATGTAAGAGCTACAGAAAAGGATAAAGTCAAGATTTACAATTCATTCAGACCTGGTGACATAGTAAGAGCAGAAGTTGTATCCTTTACGTAATGACAGTAAGAAAATAACAACAATAGTAATATTATTATTATTTAATCTTATTGTCATTTAATTCTTTAAAAGATTTCACTTGGAGATGCAAGATCTTATACGTTATCTACAGCTAAAAATGAACTCGGTGTCATATATGCACAAAGTGTCGCAGGTCAATTATTTATTCATGTTATTGATTGAGATCATTATCATTACTATTATTTATTAAATGATTGTTATTGATGGTATTGTATTAATTACTCAGGCGCACCAATGATTCCTAAATCCTGGCAAGAAATGATTTGTACAAAAACCAAAATAATTGAACTAAGGAAATGTGCAAAGCCCATTTAAAATATAATGATGTAATAAATAACAATTGAAGTTATATAATTATAATGATGATCTATTATTTTTATGAATGAATGAATAATTAATTAATAAATAATAACCTTTTGTCTCTTTCACATCCTCTCCATAGAAATATATAATCATCAAACAAATTTCTATTGTTATTTTTTTAAAATTAATAATTAAAAATAATAATAACCAAGAGAAAATTCTATTGCCACTAGCAATCCTATCATAATAAGAAATCTTTTGTAATAATTGAATGTGGGAATATTCACACGTTTCCACTTTCCTATTTGTGGTATAATATCAAGTAAAAACCCCAATGTGAATTTATGGCGATGAAACAATTTGCTTTATCACAAAGACCTCAGTCAAAACAGGCTAAATAATATGACCCTTATCAGGCAGGTATCGGTAGATACCTATACTTCCTATAAGCAATATCCTTTTTTTCACGTGCCTGAAAAACACGTGAAAAACATATTGACTTACAGATCAGGTAGGTATCTACCGATATCTGCCTGATAACAAGAACTTATCAAATCTTCATCTTCAAGAGATGTGTATTTTCGTTTCAGATTCATGAACGTGTTAATAAAAGTTTTGTAGATTTCAATTACCACTGGCAATCCCAAACCAGTCATCACTTTACTTTGTTGTAATAATTGATGATTGATTATTTTAAAATATGAGATCCTGCGTAGCATCAGTTGACTTTTTAAAAAAATTACTATATAATTATATGTGTATCCGCAAAACACTATTTTATCACAAATGAAAAATGCCAAAATAATTGTTTGCTTCAGATGAATCAAATTTATTTGTGAAAAACCAAATACTGATAAAATGAGCGTTTCATTATATCTTCGTTCTTGGTTTCAGTTTGTGTGATTAAAATATACCCATTTCGAATGTCGCAATCGTAATTACAAACAGACAATGAACGTGATTTTTGATTTTGAATCCTCTCTCTTTGCATGAGTTCCTTTATAGTCTAGATTTATAAGTATATAAGATATCCTCTGGGAGAGCAAAGTCGTTCGTCAATAACATGATATCAAATAACTTGTTCGACTTCTTTTCGTATTTTAAATAATAGCCACCTTGTCCAAGTCGGGCCATCTAAATTATTTCTAAAAAAAATTAATCAAGCTAGCAGAGTAGCCGTAGTAATTCTGCTTTTGTTATGTTTGATGAGATAACCAAAACCGAACTGCCTTTATTTATTATATTATATATCTTTCTTGATGCAAATGCCTCTTTTCCATGAGACACTCCCAGGTCATATTATTCGAGTAGCTTTATTCTATCCTTGCTTGCTAAATGATTGTTCCTATGAATTATTTTAATTTCAACTTGTGATGTTTTAAACGATGGCAATAATATCTTAAAAACAGTATCATTCATTACTTTTATTAATAACTCTACTTTGTATATATATTTGAGATTATAAATATAATCAAATTATAAAAATTTTAGTTCCTGTAGTCTATTGGACAGTTAGCTAATTAATTCATCGACGGTTACATATATTTACTTTTTATGGTAAGATTCCACTATTTTATTATTATCAGGTGAGAGAGAGCTTCACGAAAATAATGAGTGACAAAAAGTTGCATATTTCAACATAATTAAATATAGATTCTTTTAAATAAAATAAAAATTAGCATGAATACTATTGCCGATTTTTTGCAAAGCTAATCCACATTTCTTTTTTAATATAACAGTTGGACAAATTCACATCAGTTGATAATTCATATGTAAAATGGAAATCCTGATAAAATATCTCTCATTATTGTTATAACAAATTCAAACATCATCATTAATCTGAAACTGCGCCATTATAACTTTCTAACGATCCTCGAAGTTATCTATGTAATCCTATACTTATTCAAAAACAGCATTATTTTTCACTCCAAAACTAAGATTTTCTCCAACATTACCTTTATAAACTTGATCAATGGTTAAGAAGACGTAAATCATCATAAGCTTTCATATGGGTATAACTTTATGTGGATTGTTGTTTAGAGAAAATGGCAAAAACCAAAAAAAAAACTATAGTTAATTTCCAAATACGGTAATTTGGTTGACTCGGTTAATATTAAAAATCTGAAATACCATGTGATCCATATAAAAAAGAAATACCCGCCGTTCAAATTTAAAATGAAGAGTTATTATTATGTAATTTTTATGTTACAATATTTTTTGAACCACATGACCAAATTTGGTTTTTTTTGATGTAAAGTTCATTATAACAGATAAAGACAAGTTATTTACTTACGTCCGCATACATCACATGATAATAATAATTATGAATTGTTTTTACGTTAAGATCTTTTGAATAGAAGGCAACAATATGTACAACCAATTCTTCTCCAGTTGAAGATTTTGAAACCCAATAGCATTTATGACAAAATACAAGAACCTTTTTCGTCTCTGCCACATAAACAATTGAGTTAATTAAACACGGAAATTTTTCGCTTTTGTTTTTCTTATATAGTAAAAAAAAAAAGTTAAGATGTGTTTGTTTTTCGCGACCAAAAAATCTACTTTTTATTCTTGTTTTGTTAATTAAACAATCGATCTTTGCTCTTATTTTTGCTAATCAAAAACAATCAATATTTATTCATATTATCATTCAATTGTTTTTTAAAATAACAATAAAAAGAACCGACTAACCCTTTCTCGTGATTAGCCAAAATTTTTCACAAAAGTCATTTATTATTCAATTGTTTTCGAAGTCAAGATTCTTTCGGCTATTACAAGAAAATTCTCTGCAAATGGAACTTTTTAAATAAAAAATGGGGCCTTCCTTGATATTCGCAAACGCAAGGTCATTGTTCTTATACATTAGTGTGAATGGGGAACGTAGATTTTCAAGATGGGATGTAGAGTTTTAAAAAAAAATTTCTTTCTTTTTGATAATAAAGTTAGTAAATTTTTTTTAGTAAAAAAGCTATTCTATTTTAAATCCATTTTTAGTTTTAATTTATTTATAACTTAATGTTCTTGCACCATTGTTTTTTAATATATCTAAAATTATCATTATTTAAAAAGTTTGTAAACATAATAAATGAATGCATTATTATTATTACATTTATGTTTCCCAGAGAATTAATTTTGATGAAAATTTGTTCGCTATATTCAATTTTTTTTCATCCTTCCACAAAAATTCAACAGTTCGTTGATAAGCCTTTGCAATTTGCCATTTGCAATCAACAATCACAAATTCCAACCAACAAGAATCAAATAGCATATTGCAGATTTCTATAAAAATGGTTTGTAGAGAATTTCCTTTTTTAAAAAACAGAAGATTTGGCAAGTTTTATCAAGATTTTTATCGGACAAAAAGTAATTATATTCCGAAATTAGAATTTATCAGATCTTGTTAATAAAAAGGGGAAAATAATAAAAAAAAAATTACACAGAATTTCTAATGGTAAGGCTCTGGTCACAATAATTGATCATCATATAATGTATATATATATAGTTCAGATCAATCATATTTACATTTTAGTAGAAGATCTTCGTGTTACATACATATTAAAATTCGTTTGAATTATAACTTTAAATTAGAGTTTTTTTATGTATTTTTCTTTTTTGCATGATGTACAAATATATCTATTTATTTATTTAAAATTTGTGATCTTACATATAGTAGTAAAGTTTTATACTGAAGGAATACAATACGCATATTTGTATATACACAGTTCACTCTCTCTATAACAAACCTTCCATCTCTATATGTGATTTTTTATTTGTATTTACTAAGATTATAAAGAGAAATTAATTATTATTAAAAAAAAGTAAAGTTTGTTATAGAGATTTCGTTATAGAGAGAGTGAACTGTAGTAAGTGGGAAACTATTAATAAGAATTCCATAAAATAAATAAATGTTTAAAATAATAATAAATTTTCACTAATACACTAAATAAAAAATAAAGTAAACATACATAGTCAAATAAAAGCCAATGTAAAGATTCATATCAATAAGAAAGTACTGGAAGAATTAATGTTATATGCTCTGTATGTAATTTGTACCTTTTACTCCATTTTCATGGAGTGTAGTCCTAATACTTTAAATATCACTAATAGGTGTGTCTATACTTTGTATATTTCTTCAGTGAAAGAGCAAGGTATATATGTCCTTTTATTTTCTTTAAAAAAAAAAAAGATATATATATATGCTTTTCCTATAATAAAAAATAGTGAAATAAATAAAGTTCCGAATGGCTCAATTTGGTTCAGTTTAATGCCCAATCCAAAACTGGACTGAAAATTCAGTTTTTCGGCCCAAAAATTTCAGACATTCTATTCATTAACTATGCAAAAATATACATAATAACTTCAAAAAAATTATAATAACTTTGTAACTTAGTTTAGTGGATGTGTTATGAAGTAGAGATGCTGGAAGGATCCTGTTTCTAAATACATACATAATCTATAATTTTATACCATGGTAACGATGGTATGGAGATCATGATTGAATTTTATACATAATGCCATGTTTAGATACAGCTGGTCAGTTATCAGTCAGAGCATTACATATTCATAGATTCACCACAAAAATTTGTATGTTTAGAGTTCCTATTTGTAATACAATCCTTATTCAAATTATTCGTTTATTCGCTTTATTTGAATTATTTGTTTTATTTGTTTTATTTGTTTTATTTGTTTTATTTGTTTCATTTGAATAGAAATCCTAAGGACGTTCTATTTTTTCAATCCATATATAAAATTCATTGTCTCCGCAAACTTTTAAACTCTTATTGTTTCAGGTTATAAAATACAACACCTTTGAGTAATTAAGTCCATGCCTCCAGAAAAAATTTGTCCACTGATTGTTG